ACACACAACCGGGATGTGACACGGTATGTGTTCATTAATGACTGATGAAATAGAAAAGCTGATTTTAAAAAGGACATTATGTAACTCCATGTGCCGTTAGGAGGCAGACGAGGCAACAGATTCAGCTCTATGCTTCATATCTCATTTAATAAGTTCAATCATTACAGAGCGGTGCTGCAGCTCAGCCAGTAAAGCATCTGTCTCAAGAGATCCTGGGTTCAAATCCCAGCAGAACCATGGAGACAAAGCATCCAGTTTGCAACAAGGGTGGGAAGTCAAGTGCTGCTTTCAAGGTGTAACCATGAGAGAGAGGTCATGTTCTGCACGTTACATTCTCATTCCTGTCAAGCTCTGGTCGGAAAAGTCCAGAATTTGAAGATCTATCCGTTAAGTGTTAACAAATACAAACCTGCTCTAGCTTCAGAGAGATTGTTGTCTTTGTTTTAGGAAACTCCTAAGAGATTTGCGAGTTCCTCCCTTTGTATAATCCCAATCCCCTAAAAATATCAGTCACCTGAGAACAATCAGTCTTAAAACGAAGGGCTGCTCTCAGTCATCATAACCACCTTTACATCCATACACGAACATCCTGACATCTAATCACTGCATCAGGAACCATTTGTCTCTGTCTTCATGTGCCACGTAATAAATATCCAACAGGATGGAAACACAGCTGCAGCTGATACAGGAGCACTCATCAACAATCCACTGGTAAATGACCTGCTCTCAGCCTTTCTCTCAAATGTTTCTCACTCAGCAGGGATTTGTTAAGAGATGGATTTGTTAACAGGACTCAAGAAGTGATGGATTTTAAATCTGAATGCATTTGTTTCTTTAAACCGGAGAATCTTGATTACCTTTAGGATTAAAACACTTTTCTATGCCAAACAGGCTCCCCTTCAAGAGCGTGAATTGCCTTTGATTGGATCTCGGCGGCCTTGTGGGAGAATTCCAATCCACCACATTTCAGCGAGCAAGTTGGAAGTGGATGGCGCCGGAGATATCGGAGCTCAGGTGTCACATCACATTTCCACAGGACGCATCACCTGGGTCAAGTCCTCTGCTGCTGCTGCTGCTGGATGTTTCTGGGCAGCATTAAGCTGGCGACGTATCTCCTGGGACAAATGCACACAACCGGCTCACAGAAAAACACTCTCAGATGGGGGGGACAGATTGTAGTCTGAGCCAGGTGTGAACAGGAGCATGAATGGCAGAAAGGACGTAGCTGGTTCTGCTGCCATCTACAGTAAAACCCCCTGCTCCATGTTCTCTTGGAGATTAGAGGTGATCACACCTGTGCTGCACTCTGTGCACAAAAGCTTTTTGGACATATTTACTGCAATTATGTGGCATTTTTCTCTTGGCCTCCCTCCTGTCCATCTGCACTAAATTCACAGAGCTATATTTGGCTTGCAGAAGCTCTCAGGCCTTATGGAGCCTTCCCTCAGACCTCCAACAGACTGTAGAGAAGGGACAACCCCACCTCCCACGGCTGAGAATGAATCATTCATATTTGAGTTCTGAATGATTAAACATACAACATATTACTCTCAGTGAGGGTAAAAACGGGCAGTGACCAAAAGAAGCACCACCCTTTGAGGAACACAGACACGTTTCCCTGAAAATCCACGTGGAGATATGATGGTCTGTGGACGAGCTGCTTTAATTCACGCCTGAAGAAAAAAAATCTATATATGTGGCTTCTCTGTTATTGAGTTTGCATAACTCAGACTGGTTTCTTCTGCTGTGACTGGCTCAATTTTTTGGTGTTAGCTTCCATTTCCAGCCCTGAATGTCCACGTAAAATGGTCGAAGGTGAAGAGGAACTCATCCATGGTCATCATTTGCATAGCGCTTCAAACCGTAACACCAAAGAACTCGATGTAAATGCTGTGACCAAACTCAGCTTCTGAGAGCAGAAACTTTTCTAAGCATGTAGGTAACCTTCATTTCTTTGTGAACAGTGATGAAGATTTTCATTTATTAGATTAGTTTCCAAGCCGAACAGTAAAACTAAGCAACAAGTGGAGCTTTGAGTCAAGGATGGCTGCGTTTTAATGTCAGCAGCTGCTCTAGCACACAGTCAGATGAAATTATGAACTAAATGATCACAACATGAACTCCTCCACTGAGAGGTGTTCAGTATTTAATTATTGCTTTTAAAGCAGAAAATACACAGACTGAATGGGATTTTAATAGATGAAAAGTTTTTCTGCTTAATAGGTCAATTATAGAAATGCTGCAAGATAATAAAATAGGACTGCTTGTTTTCAGTGAATACATCTGATAGGTTTTCTTTTTCTTTTATACTTCAGCTCTACTTGTCAGCACGTCAGAAGATTTAATGAAAATGTTTCTTCTATTGTACCTAAATTTTAAAAAGTGGGAAGATGTGCTTTAGTGTTAAAGCTCCAGTAGACTGAAATAATTTACCTATTGACATACGGTCAATCACTTGTTTTAGACTTTTTTGGAATACTGTGTACTTTCATGTACTATCTATTTGTATACTTCTAAATGATTTTAGTGAAAAGCTCAAAAGTGTGTGAGCTAGGCTAACTCATTTAGGTTTTTTTTTTTTTTTTTTATGTTTGTTCTCGTTGCATTTTTTTTATTTACTATAATTTTATTTTATCCATTTATTCTATGTTGTTGTTGTTTTTTGGGTTTTTTGTTGATCAGCTGCTTGCTGTCTCTTTTTCCTTTTCGCGTGTTGTACGGATGGAGGACCCTCTCGAAAACCAGATGCTACATCTCAAGAGGCTCTATCCTCCAAAAACATAAGTAAATAAATAAATTTTGTATTTTTCTGTCTGACTTTGCTTTGTAAAAAGTTCTCATGTAGTTATTTTAGCTTTAGCAGTTTCAAGTCGGGTGTGAGAAGATCTTAGAGAGAAATTAAAACTCTCACTTGTCTATAGGAAACATGTTTAAACAGCTGACCTGGGTTGAGACACACTGTCTGAGTGTATTTATAAACTTAGTGTAAACTAAAGCCCTGCAGCAAAAGCATCTGTCCACAACTGAAACAGAAACCAATGGAAATAAAAGGTTTGTTAACGCTGTTGAATGTTCAAGGGCATCGCTGCACAGACTTTTTATCAAACTTACCATAAATAAATTTGAGCAGATGATGAGACACGTAGCAGAATATGTTCAGGAAGCTTATTTAGGTCCTGACACAGGTGTCAGAATAATAAACTCTATATCATTTATTGTTATTATTACTTGTCACTAATCTTGGTTTATAATGTTTACGGTACCCAGTGGGTGGGTTGTTTTTTTATGGTTTCTGAACGATGTGGCCTTTTACCAGGTTGTGGAGCTGCAGCAAAGGTTGTGTCATTACAGAAATGGTAGCGTTGGCTGCTTCAGAGGCTTGACCTGTGATGGAGAGAGCACAAAGCTCACTTTCAGCTTCAAATCCATCACAATGAACCCTGGGAAGTGGAAGTAGTTGCTGTCAATAGGGACACATTGTGGAGGGCTTACAGCTTTTATTTATTGCCTTATCGAGTCGACTTGTAGGAGATGATGTAATAATCCAGGATGACAGCATCGTTTCTTTGAGAGCATTAATTTATTCATGTGCCTTTTGTGTGTGTGTGTGTGTGTGTGTGTGTGTGTGTGTGTGTGTGTGTGTGTGTGTGTGTGTGTGTGTGTGTGTGTGTGTGTGTGTGTGTGTGTGTGTGTGTGTGTGTGTGTGTGTGTGTGCCATCATCCACGAAAGGAAGCAATTAGAGCAATTCACAACTGATCCTGCACCAGCTCACTCAGGCTTCAGGGACTCTCAGATCCAAGCTACACATCTGGTCAGTCCTTGCTGTAATTTGCATCAGTCCTCCTAACAAATCTGGTCCCTCTGGAATTCAAAAATGACATCAAGAGTCCTTTAATTACATCTAATCATGTGTCTAGTAGCCAATAGCCATCCTAAAGAATTATACCTTGTACTCCTAATGTGAATCACTTGCCAAACACACTTGATTGTTTAAGATAAATGTGTTTCCATGGAGATCAGGAATGGGGGGAAAAAACCTGTCAGCAGACTAGTCTGTGCAGCTCATGAAATAAAAATAATCCCAAACTGGCAGCATGTCATTACAGGATAACTGTGACCTGTCTTTGACCTCTAATCCGCCGTTTCCAGTTCCCTGTTGCATCCGGCATGTTGGAAACACATTCATACTTCACTGTGATCAGATTTCTACTCATCAGCCCCACGGGTGTACTTAAGACTGCTGCTCAGATCATTTAAACATGTTAGATTCTGAGTAACCGAAGCAACACCTAGTGGACAGAAATAATCAGAACATCAATGAGTGGTTTTCTCCATCAAAGTCACTAAAGCAGAACAGAACAATCACTTGGTGTTTATTTCCTTCAGGACTGATAGTGGGAATGTGTTGTTGGTGACAAGCTTTCAGCTTCACTTCTGGTTTTATGAGCAATAACTCCTCACCATGCAAAAAATGGGACCCATAATGGGTGTGATTCTGGTTTCATTCCACTCTTTTTTATGAGTCTAGAGCTGTGAAGCATCAACTTTCATGAAGATCCTTGATCATTGTGATGACGGAAAACATGAGTGTATGAAATATTTCATGGGTTATGCCTGTAATCCTACAGAAACAGGAAGAATGGTTGCTCTGTGCGCTCTGTTTGTATCCCCAGCAGCTTTTGCTCTGGTTTTACCTTCAGGGGGTATAAAAATAGAGAGAACAAGTACAAACAACAGGCCTGTGGGATGATGGGAAATCATAAGAGTCACAACAGCTGTAAGGTCAGCGGGTCAAGTAGAGGAAGAAAATGAAGCCTCACCTCCACAGGTGATCACTGATCTGGGATCTGTTCAAATTAGCATGATGGGTTTATTCAAAACTTGATTTATCTGGCTTAAACCAGCTAAGATGTTCGGTCATAAAACCCCACATATGAATGGCCTTGTTTTTTGACGCGCGGCGCACCTCAGCGTAAATCTGATCCATTAGTAAACTCACCTGTCCACGCTGATCACGCAGAGGGTCATGATGGAGGCCGTGCAGCACATTACATCCATTCCAATGAAGATGTTGCAAAACAAGTCCCCGAAAAGCCACTTGCCCCCGGTGAGGTCCGTCACGATGACAAACGGCATCACGACTATGGCCACCGAGAGGTCCGCCACCGCCAAGGACACCAGCAGGTAGTTCGAGGGCTGCCTGAGCTTCTTCACCACGCACACAGCGATCACTACCAGCGTGTTCCCCATCACGGTCACCGCCGTGATGATCGCCAGCATCACCCCGATGATAATCTTCTCCGGGCGCCCGAAGTCCTGCAGTTGCTCTCCGCACGACTCGTTCCATCTGGCCGTGGGGCTCGTGGTGACGAGCACGTTGCTGTAAAGCAGCAAAGTGCCATTGATAACTTCGGAAAGACCCTCTTTCTTGTGAAAAGTGGGTTCAATTCCCGAACTATTGAACATCACGACAATGATGTTATTCCGACTGGGCTGCAAGGGACGCCTCGCCAGCGCGCTCCAATTACGCGCATATTTGGATGTGTGTAACCTGCTCTCGGTCACTATCCGGTGGTGTCAGGTCGACTGGGATCCAGCTGCACCTCATCAGAGCTGCCAAAAAGTCCGCGGTGGTCTTCACTGCGACTCTGTTTTAGAATGATCCGTCTCAGGAGATTCTACGTTTCCTCGCGCGAAGGGAATGTCCCCAAATCAGGAAATCATCAAAATAAAACAAAAAAAGTTAAAGAATCTAAATAAACCGTCTTCAAAGAGCTTCTCGGCGCGTTACCATACAACAAACATGGACTGTTTTGGGAGTTGCGCTGCGCAAACCGCACCTATCCATGTGACGCATCACTGAGAGCGCACAGCCAGTTAGAGCCGCGGTTCTGATTCACGGCGGAATAACCGCATAATTAAGGGTTCTGTTTGGTACAAGACTCTTCAGAGATGCATTACGAACCATGGAAGCACAATTTTATCAATGATACTGTTTTATTAAACACTGTAAAGCCAGGAAGATGTTAAACATCACATAAACACATTGTCTTTTCAAAATAAACAAACACAAGGAGGCTATTCTTTAAGCTTTTACAAACAATCTGAAGTAAAAAATTAACCATTTCATGTGTTAACAACAAGCCTAAAATGCCATTTTCTTCATAAACAGCTAAAAAAAATCCTCACAAGTGTTAAAGCTTCTCTTAGACGGTTCATCAAGTTCAGCAAACCAAAAGAGGATAGAGTTCTCTGCAGTATGGGAGACACTCTGAGGGCTTCTGGGAAACATTCCCAGGACTTTGACAACTTGCATCGCTGTCCAAAGCCCAGACAGCTGTGGTGTGTTTTCCCCTTCTGGCTTTAGAGTGGACCAGACCTGTTTCCCACAAATTTCCTCCAGCTTAACTGTCCCTCTCCATCCTATCCCACTCACATGCCTTGACCCCTTTACCCTTTGCTCTGTGTGACTGACAAGTCAGAGACGATTGTCACTACAGATTAATGCCAGGAGCTGCTGGCAGTTTCTTGTGCTGTCAGGAAAATGTGACCTGTTCATGCTGAAGATATTAGAAATGTGTACATGTCAGAAAAAATGGTCAGGTATCCAGAGTGGAAAGCCTAAGAGGCGAGCTCCTGGCTCTTATGCTAAACACCCTGACATCATGTTAGTGTGCTTCTTAGTTCCGCTGTGGGTTTTGGACTAAAAGAGCTTTAGAGGGAAACAAGTACATGTATAAATCTCACCTCACACTTAAAACTCTGAAACTAAAACTTGTGTTTGTGTTGCAGACAACATGTTGCTAACTGTCTGACTTTAAAAAGAGCGAGGTCTTTCCTGGTGGGCCTGCAGATGCTCATCCATGTTCTCCAGCTCTCGTTTGTTAAAGTTTCTGAGTTTTTCAGGAGTGAAACTGTAGTTTGATCCAATTACAGGAGCAGGTCTAATCATGCAGACATTTTTTTGAACCTCTTTGTTGACAAGTTTCCTGCAGATCAATTTGGAAGACGTGTTACTCAGTCCAGTAATCAAGTCCCACGTGGATGCATGTGGCATTTACTGCATCTCCTCCTAAAAGGACAGAGGGAATAACAATGAAAACAAAACACTTGGGAAGCTTGATGTAGATTAGTTTGCTTGTAATTTCACCAAAACAGCGAGCCTGCTGCCTCAGACACGCTGACGTTGACTTTGCTTCGTGCTGAAGTCAAATGTCTGTTGTTGTGGAATATGGCTGAAGGCAGACAGGTGGAGGTTGGCCATCTTCATGGGCCAGGAAAGAAATAGACAGAGTTTATCTTGTTTTCTTGGCAGCAAATTGCAGCTTTATGAACACGACCTTTAATAAAATGACACAATCAGGCACAGAGCAGAACCTTGGCAGCAAACAGGTAATTTCATCATGACAACAAAATGTAACGGAGGACTAGAAGAGAAAAACACATTTGTTTTAGAAGTGCCTGGTCAAAGAGGAGAGGTCTCGTTCCTCTAATAGATTGTTGTAGGAAGGCTGCTGCATGGGAGCCGGGCAGTTCTTATTTTAAATGTCTTCACTAACTCATAAAACTATTTCATTTGAAATGTTTTTTTCTGTTCAGCTATTTTTATTATGTGTTATAATAAAAAACGAACTTTGAAATGTTTCAAACTGAATGAAACTTTACACTAGGTCTGGCTAAAGGTTCAAAGTCTAAAACACAAACTGGACAGGCTAAAGTGAAATATGTAAGTGCTCATTCACTCTAAGGTCTGGAGTAGGGCTGTAAGAAAATATCGATATGGCAATATATCGTGATATTTTTTACAGGAATATTATATCGATATTCAAAAGCTCTGTGTCTAATTTTTGGAAGAATTTACACACAAATATTTGTGTATTTTATTTTCTTTTGGTACAATTCAAAAGCAGACCACTAGAATGCAGCAGTGTGCAATGGGTCTTGTTTCCACCATTGAAATGTAAATCCTTATGGTTCAGATACCTCATGTTAAACATATTAAGTATCAGTTTAGACTGTTTATTGAATTTTCCTACAATAAATTCAGTCTAAAAATGTGATAATAACGTCTGACTGAATGTATCGCAATATATCGTATTGTCTCTCCTGGCATGAGTCCACCGGATGAAGCTGTCTGCTGTCAAGACAAAAAATGTACTCATTTGTTTAAAATTGTTTGTGGTTTCAGCTAAAACCAATCTATTGGATTGCATTGGGCTTTTTTATTTATTTATTTTTTTTAAGTTTGCACCAATTTGTAAGCGATCCAACATGAAAGATCAGCTAGCCGGTCTAATTTATCGGTGATGAAAAATAAAAATTAAAGAAATAAAGCATGTGATAAAATGCACACACTTCAGTTATTTGAAGGGTCTTAGATAATGAAAATTAATTTTCTCTAAGCTTTTCTGCATTGTTGTACACATATTTATATCATTTAAATACATGATACCGTGAACTCCTCTCATCAGAAGATGATTCATTTGTTTGTGACTCAGTTACACATGAATGTTCTCTTATAAACATTTGTTCAACATAGCAGTTTTAGAATTTGTTTACTTGGTTTGACTGTAAGGCTGATGTTATTTCTCTTGATTTTTAAAAATGTTTCTGGTTTTTGCTCTAAATATGTGGACTAGTGGGATGTTTACTTTCTGGCTCATGCAGACTAATTTATTCCTCTCAAAAGCAGGTGCAAGTTAGCTTGGTCTGCCAGACTCGTCCTCTGTTTAATTCTCTGCGCAGAATTAAACAGAGCAGTCTGGCAGGCCAGGCTAGGTGCAGGTTCCAGGTCACCACCTTACAACCCCTGGTAGCACATCTGATTATTTTAAAATAGGTCCATGATTAATTACCACAATGTCTGACCACACACACAGAAATTAAAGGACAAGATTGTACCTTTAGGGGTACAATGTCTTGTCTGGGGTGGCACCCTCAAAGGTACCATTTTGTACCTTTAGCTGGGGGCACAAATTTGTACCATCGTAGATTGTACCTTTTACAAGTCAAACAAGTACCTTGAGGAGCAACTTTATACCCCTAATTTAAAGTACAGAAAAGCACCCTTAAAAAGGGTACAGAAATATCCTTCCAAGGGTACATAATTTAATTTATTAATTTTATATATTTTTATATAAATATAAATTATTTTAAATATTTGTTTTTATATGTATATATATTTTTTAAATATAATTTTATATGTATGCTTTTTTATATACATATATTTTATATACATACGTGTGTGTACATCAAGATCCTAAAAACATCAGACACCAAATGCAGAATTGAAAATAGTTGCTGCATTTTTTTCACTTTTCAAATACAGTGCCAAACAGTTACATACAAACTTACCAGCAGAGTATGTGTCAAAAGCCTCCGTGTCAAGTTCCTGTCCAGGTTTGAGCAAAGTCCATTCACCATCAACTTTAACGCTGTATGCATGAAAATGGGGAACTACCATTTTTCCACAGAGGATCCACATTGTGTCAATGTTGAATATGGACTTAATCTGCCAGAAAAGACTAATCTTTTCTGAATGCAGTACATCAAATACAAACAAATGACAGAGTAACTGACAGACACGCGCTGCTTTCATTGCAAAATCAGCTCTAGAAAAGCCACAATAGACTATCAGAGCTTCTTGCAGTTCCACTGGTAATGATAGAAATGGAGTAGTTACACTTTTTTCCAATAACATTTTCAAATTCACCAAGTAAACTCTGTTTTGAAAACTCCCAGCACTGTCTGAACTGATGTCTGTTGCTCAAAGTTGCAGCAATGTTCATAAAATTTCTGCAATTACGAGCCAGTGCTTTAAAATACTGGTGCTTACTTTCAAATCTCTTTCACCATAACAAACACAGAGGGCCAAACATTTCAATCAGTCTTGCATTGTGGATTAAATAATGACACTTGGGTGTAATTACATCCCCCAAAACACTCTTTAGTTCTGTGAGGAACTCATGTACAAACAAATCCAGCAGTAAAATGTGTGGGCGACAGTGGCACAGGAGTTAAGTGCTCGCCCCGTAATCGGAAGGTTGCTGGTTCGAGCCCCGCTCAGTCTGTCGCTGTCGTTGTGTCCTTGGGCAAGACACTTAACCCACGTTGCCTGCTGGTGGTGGTCGGAGGGACTGGTGGCGCCAGTGCTCGGCAGCCTCGCCTCTGTCAGTGCGCCCCAGGGCAGCTGTGGCTACATTGTAGCTCATCCCCACCAGTGTGTGAATGTGTGTGTGAATGGGTGAATGACTGATTTGTGTTGTAAAGCGCCTTGGGGGGTTCCAGGACTCTAGAAGGCGCTATATCAAATACAGGCCATTTACCATAAAATACTCTCATTTCCCACTTTTTTAGCCATAACAATCTGTTATTTCACGACATAAAAGGAAAACATGCCAGTATTTACAATTAGGTGGCACATGGTCTGCCATCAGAAATGGCAGCAACCTAAACAGGCACCACTTTTGTGATGCTGATCCAACAATGCCAACAGTATGAAATCTCTCTGATAACTATTTTCACAATGTACTTTTGGAGAAACATCAGGGTGTTCTTCAGATGTCTTGGATATGCAAGGTTGAAGACAAAGTACATGCAGAAAGAAGAGAAGATTCCTTCAAAAACAGATGAGGTTCTGCACACTTCGCTGCCATCCAGTTGCACATTGTTTGGAGCTCTTCTGGAGAAAACTGGTTTCCAGTCTTCATGGAGTAGCTGGACAGTTGGATAGGGGTTTTTAGGATTAACCTTTAAAATCAAAAGGAAAAGTAGAGGAAGGCAAAAGCTGAGCATCATTAACATTCGAAGACAAATTGGTTTTAATTTTTAAATAAATATTTTTTACACTTACCTCTCCAGGAATGACAAAGAGATCCAGTTTCTCCTTAAAGATGTATGGCAGGAAAAAAGGGCTACACTTATGTCAAGATCTGCAAAACATAACACAAGATCAACTATGCATATTAACCAGATGATGTTAAGACAGGAGTCTCCACGGACTGTGATGTTTTCACATCAGGCTGACAAATGTACTGGAAAAGATATAAAGATTAGTCACAGCCATGTGTGTAAATGAGGGTGACACAAGTAATGTTACAGGGAGTAGAAATAAAGAAGGTGGAAAACTTTAAAGCAGGGGTCTCCAACTCTGGGCCCCGAGAGCTACTTTCCTACACATGTTTATTGTTTCTTTGCTCCTACACACCTGATTGAAATGAATGAGTAATTAACAAGCCAATGCAAAGTCAAGGATAGGATTAAATCACTCAATTCAGGTGTGATAGAGCAGGAAACACAGCAGGATGGTAGCTCTCGAGGACCAGAGTTGAGACCCCTGCTAAGGTATATGGTCCAAAGCCACAGAGATGATGGAAAAGAAGTGAAAAAGAGTGGGAAGCAAATTAGAATGAGTGTCAGATGTGATGTGTGATAAAATTATTTCAGCAAGAATAAAAGGAAAGGTCTAGAAGACAGTAGTGAGCCCAGCCATGTTGTCTAGTTTAGAGAAAGTATCCAAGAGAAAAAAAACTGGAAGACTGAGCTGAATGTTACAGAGCTCAAGAAATTGAGGTTCTCTTTGGGAGTGATGATGATGGATAGGATCAGGAATGAGTTCATCAGAGAGATGCTAAGTCATAATTATGAGATAGTATCAGAGATACTATCTTATAATAATGAGATAGTATCTCATTATTATGAGATAGCTTAGTCATAATAATGAGCTAACTCCGGGTCGGGGGAGAGGTCCTACCTCAAGTGGAGGAGTTTAAGTATCTCGGGGTCTTGTTCACGAGTGAGGGTACGAGGGATCGGGAGATCGACAGGTGGATTGGTTCAGCGTCTGCAGTGATGTGGACGCTGAGCCAATCTGTCGTGGTGAGGAGGGAGCTGAGCCAGAAAGCCAGGCTCTCGATTTACCGGTCGATCTACGTCCCTCACCTATGGTCATGAGCTTTGGGTAATCACCGAAAGAACGAGATCGCGGATACAAGCGGCCGAAATTAGTTTCCTCCGTAGGGTGGCCGGGCTCAGCCTTAGAGATAGGGTGAGGAGCTCGGACATTCAGGGTGGACTCGGAGTAGAACCGCTGCTCCTCCGGATCGAAAGGAGCCAGTCGAGGTGGTTTGGGCATCTGGTCAGGATGCCTCCTGGACGCCTCCCCGGGGAGGTGTTTCGGGCATGTCCTGTCGGCAGGAGGCCCCCAGGTTGACCCAGGACACGTTGGAGAGGTTACATCTCCAATCTGGTCCGGGAACGCCTTGGGGTCCTGCCGGAGGAGCTGATGGAGAAGGCCGGGGAGAGGACGGTCTGGAGCTCCCTAGTTGGGATGCTGCCCCTGCGACCCGGACCCGGATAAGCGGAGGAAGATGACGATAATAATGAGATACTATCTCATAATTATGAGATAGTATCTCATTAGTCACAATTATGAGATAATATTTTTTTTATCTGAGTGGCGGGAATGGGCTTCCATACATTTCACTCCATTTTTAGATTTTAATAAAATTATTAATAAAATAAATCATTTTGTAAAGATTTTTCAAAGTCTACAAAATGATGAACACTGAAACTATTAAATCTATTTTGAGACAAATAGCTTTGCTAGTGGCTGTTTTTTACTCGGAAGAGATCATAACCAGAAATTGTACCTTATGAAATTATTGGTACAAATGTGTGCTTTTTAACCATAAGAAACAATTATGTACCTTTCAGATCATGAAAAAGGTACAGATAGGTTCTCTGAGGTCCAATATTTGTCCTTAGACTGGGTTAATGCCATTTGTGTACCTTGGGGCACAACAACGTCCCCTTTCCGTACCCCTATTTTTCACTGTGCAGTGACCTGAAAACGAAACCTCTCTGAGCTTCAACCCCCTCCCCATCACAGTGTACCAGTGATCTTGTTATTACATGTTTCTTCAAAACAAACACACCTACTGTAGATCTGTGGAATACTTACTTTTACTGAAATGAGAATGTTATTTTTTTTATTGTAATGAAGTCTAGTGACCAGACATTCTAAAAATGAGTAAAATGTGGATCCTCAACCCCCACTGACTGCTCAACTCATGTGCCCCCCTCACTTTTGAAATAAATAAAAATAAAACAAAAAACTTCATTTCACAAAAGTCTATGTTGTAGCAACAAACATATTTATCTCTATTTCTTTCTTTTTTCATCTAAAGTAAGACCAGCTCTGTCCTGGGCTGCTCCTTCACTTAGCGAAGGAAATAGGTGACATGAAAACTGAAGTAGAATCCCGTTTCAACAACATGTCTACCCCCATACATGAAGCTGTTGCAGGCCTGGCGAGCTCCTTTGGTGACAGACTGCTCCATCCTAGATGCATGAAGGAATATTATAGTGAATCCTTCCTCCAGCTTTAAAATTTTATAACTATCACTGATCCCAACAAAATCTACAAGTTTTGATATCCTTTCTGTTAGTGGGTAGATGGTGCTAATGCACAAATCCCATTTGTACAGTGTTTTATTTTTATTTTTATGGTTTTATAATTTTTACTTTGCCTCTGTGTGGACATGCAGATCTGGTTTAACCTATAAATAGCCATTGCCTGAATTTCCCTGAATTTTAATCCAGAGGCAGCAAATATATGCAGCTGACTATCAGCAGGGGGCGACAGACGCGATCTTCGACGACTTCCTCGCTTCTCTGGTGATTGACAGATTGAGTGGACCAATCACGTGCTGGTAATTGTGTTCTCTGTCCAATGAAGAGACGTGAGCGTTGGATAGTACTGGGTATTTGTTCTCCAAAACTGTTTGAGCCGGTTTTATCTAGTTTACAAGACGGAGTAGAGTTTTTATTCAACGGCCGGTTTCTACTTTGTAGAGTAAGCATTACGTTCTTATTTGTCAAATACGGTTAAAAAGCATTCGTTTTAGGGCGGTTTTCTCTTTTGTGTTATTTCTGTGGCGCCAGTTGTGTTAAGTGAACAGGTGAGTTACCACGTGTTGCATTTTTAGCTAGCTATGTAGAATTCTGTTTGACCTTGACATATGTCTTATCAAATAGTTGTCTTCGGAATTAACGACGTATAAATTAACACGTTTACCAAGTTAATGGCCAAGTGGCGCCGCTATGTCTTGGTAAGTAATGTTGTCGTCAGCGTTAAAACCATGCTAGTTTTCTTTTAGTACAGACTTTACCGCAAAAGCTTAAACTTTGTAATAAACATCCCCGGTTTTTCTAAAGTAAATAAATAAATTGGTAAAGAAATCACTATTCAATAATGTTTTAAAAAATGCAAGCAGTGATTGTAAAACATAATTGTTAAATAACAACCAGTTCTGTGATGCATATTTTTTTGTTTTCTAATGTTAACGTTTCAACTAGTATGAAAAATAATCACATTTACCTAATAAGAAGTAGGGCTAATTATGTGCAGCATTGCTACTGTATATTTAAGGCAGTTAGGGTGAGGGGTTTTCTTGCACTTGATATTTAAAATATTTTTAAGGATTTGAAAATTATTAATCTACTTTTTCTCAATGCTGAAAACGATGGGTCAAATTTGTGTAGAAAATCTTAGAAATGTTAAATAATTAGGTTGTGGGTATTTGAGTAAGATTTTGTTGAAGATGTAAGAACCTATATATTTTGGGCAATGTCATGGATGGATATTATTCTCCTTACTTAACTGTGATCATCATGATATTCTCTTTTAAATTAATAGTTTTCAGCAATGTGACTGATTTGCTGCTTTTTGACAAACACATTAATTCAATTTTGAAATGAGGATGTAAGCTCGCCAGCAATATTACTTCTTCATGGCAGCTACTGGTGAAACTGCTGGACAAAATCTCCGCCTGCCTCTAACCACACTTAATTTCATCGCTTATCTGTTTAGGAAAAATACATATTTGAGAATAAACTGAACGTTTTATGATCTTGTTCTGTCCTAGAGGTAGTTTACCATCATTGTGCTGCAGGCAAATTTGACCTCATGGTTATTTTGACCATAATTATCACGGTTTTTGGTATTGTCGTGGTAAGGGGGCTTAAGAGACTTCAACTTCACTGAGTTTTGGCTAGCAGCTATGAACTTAACTGAACTATGGAAGCCCTGCATGGACAAGATGTCAAAAACTAAAAAAAAAAAAAAAAAAAAACAGGCAGATTCCTCCTCTATTTAAAAACTCCTGGGGATGTAACAAGTGGGCGTGGTGCGTCGACTACCGGATCTGACGTCGACAAATTTTTAGAATCGAGCCGTCGATGTCATTGACATTTCGCTACAGCTCTACTGGTATGGTAAATGCACTTTTGGGTCATTTTCAGCCGAAAAATTTAGGTTTTCTCATAGTTACAGCTGTGATGAAGCTTACTTTAATGGTCAAAATGAGGTCAAACCCATGCTTTCCTAAGTTAAACTTTCCTAGAACAGCTGTGCTATAAAAAGTTTTTTTTTCTCCCACAGTTGGTCTGTTTTAGTTTTCTAAGAAGCTTAACAAATGGATCCACGCAAGCCGCCTGATCACAGAGACAAAGCCAGTGCTTTTTGGCCAGGCCATGGAAGAGGACTGCACCCTGAGGAGTTGGCTGTAGGACGCGGTAGAGGCTTGATGCTCACCACAGTAGGGCCTGGTCTAGGACGAGCAAGGGCTTTACTCATTCCTGATGACAACCTTCAAGTACAAGCAGCATCTTTACCCTCTATTGGACCTGTGTTTGCTCGAGGTAGAGGGTTGCTGGCACTGCCTGATGATGGCTTAGGATTTGGCCGAGCCAGGGAGCTCAACTTCCCACCAACTCCGCCAAAGGTTGGAGTGTCGAGAGGTGTAATTCTAGCCAAACAGGAGCCACAACTTGGACCTACACATCCATTTGAAACACAAGAGGTGGGAAACAGATTTATATGATACTATCATCATTATAAGTAAATTGCTTTGCATTTGGCATCACTGAATATGTCCTTGAATAGGTTGACACACCAACTCTGGGTCAAAAATCAACATTGGTCTCTATGTTCAGAGGAATGGGAGTTGAGCCCATCACTACTTGTGGAAGAGGAATTCCTGCAGTTGGTCTGTATTTTAATGGTCTTGAATAAAAATAAACTATTGTAACTACAGTTGGAAGTATGTAAAGTGTAAACAGGGTTGTGAGGGCTCCTGTGCCTTTGAAACAATAATTAAACGCTGAAGGTGATTTAGCTGGTTTAAGCGCAACAAACAAGTCAATAGGCTACATTTCCCAACAGGAAGAAAAGCAGCTGAAGAAATGGGAATACGAAGTACCCCTGTGGGTCTCGCCAGCGCCTCAGGGAGTCTTCCTGGAGACTCGCGGGACAACAGCAGCAGGTATGCCAAAAGAGGGCCATGTAGGCCTGGGCAATAAATCGATTTAATAAATTCTAATATTTTGTTGGGGGTGATTAAAAAATAAAAAAAAGGTTAATCGAATTTTTATGTAATGCTGCCCCCCCCCCCCCCCCCCCCCCCCAGCTTCCGTAGCGTTTGTTTCACATAGCCATGACAAACACGTCACAGCATGCACGCAAAACAGCAACAACAAGCAACTCCATGGTCGCCAGTGAGAGTGGGAAGTTTGTTCCTAAGAAAGGAATTAAATCATCCATTGTTTGGAACTGGTTTGGGTTTGCTGCAACGGATGTGGAGCGTGCTGGAAAAACTATAAACGAATGTCTAGTAGTCTTAAGACTTGTGTAGTCACTTGGCATTTTATTGCATCTTGTTTGAAATATAAATATTCTGTATTCAGCATGCAGAGTTCGAATAATGGCAACAAGCCCAGCTCATCTGAAAGGGTGACGGGCTCCACTATCCCTCAACTTACACACCCATGGGTAGCCCGAAATGTATAGTTTACCTATGTTACATTAATTTTATAGACTCTCAGCGTAATCTTTTGAGCAGAGAGGAAGCAGAGCGCTGATCGTTTATGTGCTCCAGACAGCTGCGTCCTGCTTATGGCCACAGTTAGGGATGGGTTCCGTATTCGGTTCCTTTTGAAGATATTGACCAAAGGCAAAATTCCTTGGAATGGCATGTGTAAAGAAGTGTAAAACCTCAGATGAAAAAGGTTTTGGATTTTCACAGCTGGAATTTAAAGAAAATCTGATGTTTTTGACTGGTGCAGGAAAAACAGAAACTAGCTTCTGGTCTAAGCTCTGGGAAGCTGGTAATGTTTCACAAGGAGATCTGTTGAAATGGCTATAGAACACAACCCCCGATTCCTGTGTTTCTGTGTTAGCGTAATGGCAGAGAACAATGTGTCATCAGTCAGATGTAGCTCCTGAAGCCTCTGCTAGTCGGTCAGATTAATCACAACAAACTCATCAGAGCAGCTGCAATTATGACCCATAACAATAACATTTTAGGGATGATTACAGTATTTTGGAATATTGGAATGTTTTCATATGTTTCCATGTTTGGTGTTCTGAGTGTGAATTAGTCTCATAATAATTCTTAAAATACATGATGATCCCTAATATTTTATAATTTTTGTCTAGCATATTTTTTTCTTTTTTCTGAGCAGAGACCGTCTAAACCTCATGGTAGGAAATATTTTGCATTTTGCAAAAAATCATGTAACACTCCTGTGTAGGCGATTACAGGGACAATAGTTATTTGAACTAAGGGTTGGACCAGTATGGATCAGGTAGGTTCGACTACTGGAGCAATTTTAGGATTTGAGTAAAATTAAAAGAAGAAAGAGACCACAGACCAGAATTAAACTGCCGGCTTATTATTTGTAATAGTAAATAGACAATACACGAACAATAAACACACAACACAAATTTACAATTGGTAACCCCTTGTTAAGATTTTTTGGAATTAAATGGGTTAAGTGTTTTTTTTCTTTTAAAACCCGTGTTTTGGGATTTAACACTTAATTCTAATTTGGGATAGGTTGCAACCTTTCAATAGACCCTAGTTTACGTTATCTGGTTTTTTCTATTTGTCTCCTTAAGTTTACTCAATTAGAATAAACCATCAAATTCAGCTCTATGGTTCCAGCAAAACCTTAGTTCTCTTTGACCCACGTTAATAAATTTTTCCGCAGGTATAACCCTTTCATGGAAATAACCTTGCATAGAAAAAGATTTACCCTTTTACCCGTATTCAAGTTCCCACAATCAAGTAAAACCAACAAAAAAACTTTACACAACCAAAATAATCCAGCAAAAGGCTGAACACATGTGCAGTTCACAGTCTCTAGTCTCCTTGTCGGTGGTTCTGAAGAACAGTTCGGCTCTTATTGAGTTCAGTGCCCTCCTGAAACAAGAAACAAAGCAACTCCCACCAGTGTTTGGAAGACCCATCCAACGTTGGTGAAGTCCAGGGCTGATTCAGCAGAGGGAGGTCTGCTGGCGACTACGGCTCAGCTCACGAATCCATGGGTGGCTCGCCATCTTAGCTCTTCACGTGGTTCCCGCGGTCGGGTTTAGGAGGTTGTCTTCTGACCCACACTAAAAGGCCTAGCATAACAAAATATGCATACATGAATAAAATGAGGCACCAGGTAGTGCTGAAATAAAACCCAGATTCTGTCTCATTTGTGCCGACGAACATGCAGCTCCTTCAAAACGGACAGAAAACGGCAACCGCCGGCCGTTACATTAACAGCCCTTCTCCCTCCAGCACTCACCATAACATGCTTCCCCATTTCACCCAGTCACTACTTTAGCGCCACATTTACATGAAATAATAGTTACATTACACATCTTTGCTTAACTAAAATTATAAATTTCTTTTAACTCACCAAGTCCTTTTCACAACTTTACAAAACGTCTCCAACTGGAACAGATTGGAACATCAAAAACGTTTCTTGCTGTATTTTTGGTCACAAAAGGAAAATTCGCCTTAGGCAATTTCTTTTAAATCTTCAGCTCTCCTTCTCTCTTTCGCTGCGGTAGCTCTGCGTGCTGCAGTAGTTCTGGGTGTTGCTGCTCTTCTCCCTCGCTTAGCTACGACTAAGCAACCGAGCGATCCGGTTGGCTGTTACCAATCACATGGCTCGCACAACATCCGTTTACAAAAATAAAAGTCTGATGTCTTAAAAGTCTGAACAATAACAGTAACATTTCTATAATATAAGTTTTTTTTATTTGTTTAATTTATTTTTAAACAACTACAAACTATATTAATATAATTAAAACTATCCTGAAACCTGGGTTACAATCACGTTGAGTTTATTTTAATTATTCCAACAAGAAGTATATAAATAATAGAGTAGGGGCCTCATTTATAAAGCTTGTGAAAACGGTTGTAAAACTGCGTAAGCAGCTTTCCACGCAAACTCTGGGATTTATAAAAGAAAACGTAGTGGAAAAAGGTGTGCAACTTTAAGTTAATTAAGGACCTGGCTTACGCACATTTTTGACATGGAGAGCACCTGCAGCAACACATTCTCACACCCTAAGCGTTGAAAAACCGACGCTCTGGCACAGCGCGTCTGATTCCGATGCCTGCGGTAAAACGGAGGTTTGACCGAATTGTGACCTTTACCCTCTTGCTATTTAACCTTCCGTTCACCCCCATCCTAACCTTAACCAGCTTGCACATGCAAAGCTTTGCTTCACGTTTTATTGTCCCTCTAAAACACACTTAAAGTTAGACTGACATACGGGGTTAAGATTAGGATGGGGGTGAGGGGACAGTTAAATCGTTAGAGGTGAAATCTCAGTTTTTACGCAGGCATCGGAAAACGACGCTCTGGCACTGTGCCTCGCTTCCCAACATGCAGGAGTTCCCAACAGGTTGAAAACAAACGCTTGATCACACCACGTCATTTTTCGACGCATATGGTGTGAGAATGTGTTGGCTGCTGAGAAGGATAAAATTATCATTTCCAGCAGCATTACCACTTGTACCACTTCGTGCGCACACAGAAAAAGTAAAACACGGCACAAAACACAAGGCACTTTGCATTGACAATTTATGGCAGAAAGTGGGCGTGTTGAGGGCGGGATGTGTTGTCACCTTTTTCATACCCTCAGAGTTTGCAGGTATGTGTCCATCTTCAGAATCAAAATCGGTACAGTTCACTTTTCTATTTTAATTTTCATTTCTGTGCTCCACCGGGAGCTTTAAGCTGACGAGTTCTCAGATGGTTTTAGCTCCACTATCTGTCAATATAATTCAATAATCTACAGATAAATAAAATAATGCACTGCCAGTTTTGCCGCTGTGTGTATATATTGATATAACTCTACAAAATATTTAACTGATAATTTATCAGAATAAATCTTCCTGATGCTGTAGTAACTCGCTAGCTCTGCTCGTTGTTGGGACTAATCCAGGATAACACGGAGATTCTACCGGTCCCAGAAGGATCGATTGTCGAAATATGGAGATAATCCTTAAGATTATATCTGTGTGTGCGTGCGTGTGTGTAGTAGCTTTCCCAGATGACTTGTTTTTTCCTTACTGGAGCTAACACGGTTAGCAGTTTTGCTGCAGTCATGCTAACGGGACTCATCTGGAGTCCAGAAGTAGCGGTGCAGTTCTAGATCAGTGGTTCCCAAACTTATTTAGCCGCGCACCCCCTTCTATGTCCCGACCCTGTCGACGCCCCAGCCCCCATAAAGATGTCAAGCTAAACAGACAGGATTAAAAAAAATTCCCCATCACTTTCATTTTTTAAATAGTAATTAATAAACATTCGATACCATTACAATTTCCTTTGGTTTCATTTTAAATAAATATTTAGAGTGCCCAGGTAGCACATAAACAATGCAATTTAACGGTTTTCTTAAAGTAGGAACGTTTTAACCTGTGCGGCCAGAGCGCTCTCCTTCCTTCTGTTCTGCGTAAACCTGAGCTGATCACCTACTTGTGCGTAATCAAATGTCAATAGGGGACAAGATATAGCCATGATGTTCACTTTTACCTCAGACCGACTTATTGCTGTTTTATGGTGTGGCTGAATCTGCGATCCGCTGCCACGCTGACTGGAATAACAAATGCTGCAGTAACAGGACTTGTGGTCAGGTTCATGAGGAGTCACTGGCTGTAGCGGACCCGACTCATCCCAGAAGCTAATATCTTAATTTGACCTTGAATAAAAAATAACCTCTTAAAAGTTTTTATCACGGTGGAGGCAGCGTTCATTTCTGCCTTCAGTCTGACGGCGCGCCGGAGTTAAAGCAGCGTGCGCGCTTATTGAATCTGTGTGTGTGTGTGCACGCGTGCGCGGCACAGCCGCTCAAGTCACCGCGTCTCGTTATTGGCGCTATTTAAACCAATGTTGTAAAATTACTTCTGCCCAGCCCAGATGTGCTCACATGTGCACCCGTGAGCCGTGGTTCCGCTGGAACGCGTCTGACCTCTGACAG